CCAAGCTTATTTATTATGATAATGCAAAGAGCAACTATGAACTGTATCCCCTAGCAACCAGTTGTCACAGTTCAACCATTGAAGATAGTCAGAACACTGAAAGAGGATTTCTATATGTAAGTGTACTTTACACCTAGCAGTCTAAATAGAAACCTAGTGATCATCAAATACAACCAACAGTAACTTTTATCTCCACCCAGTGCCTGCAAAGCAGCTACTGACCCTCTCACAAACTGCGTCTGGGCCTGTCCTCTCCGACACAACTACAGACTATTTACTAAGGTAGTGTGGTCACAATTCAATTTGCTGAACATGGTCCTCACAGTAAGTGTTTTTTTTATAAACAAGCTTATAAATTGTGCTACTCCACAACCATTTTTTATTCTACAACCACTTTACATACAAATAGCACTTTGTGACCTTTTAGAATCAGACGTCTCCAACCCTGGAGATGGATTTCCAAGAAGTGAAAATGAAGGCACACACTGGTCGCCTTGTGACGCTGTCCAGCACTCTTGCTAATCATTCTAATGAATGACTTCCTGAATTGCTGTCTTGTGTAAGTCATATAATGAGTGATGAAGCAGAGCGCTCCCTACCTCAGGTGACACCGCCAGACAAGCAGACATTGTCCAAACAATATGCAATGTACAGGCCTTGCTGTAAAGCTGGACACTGAAACTTTGCATGGCTGGGCACACCAGTGCAATACCACCATCCCTGGCATCCTTATGACCAGTACATAGGCCTGTGGACAGAAGTGGGACAGGGGATAAGGAGACATCTCCAGCACTACTTATTAACAGTGATCAGAAACCGTATCAGCTGGATCCAGTCTTCAAATGTCTAAGTGTGCCCTACCTCTACACTCTTGCCTGCCCATCATAGCAATGTCGGCAGATCTAAGCTGTAGTTAATAGTAAAAGAAAGGTTTGAGAATAATTTCTGGGGATTAGGCCGGTCACAAGTCACGACACCAACTGTTGTGTTTAAAGCAGACCCTGTTCACCCACTTTGCATAAACTCTTACGCCTCTCCGTTCACACAATCGCAATTTTTTGTAATTTTTTTTTTAAGTATCTTTTTTTTCAAGCTTCTGGTGTTCTCACCTAGGAGAAAATTATGTATCCCAGCTGCTCTTATCCTCCTGGGATTCTCACATCATGCATCTCAAGAACCTTTGGGGCAATTTTCATTGCATGCACTGCAGTAGCTCATCAGGAGAGCAGCTGCAAGACTCCAAAATATACGGCTCTCTATGGCATCAGCAAAAAAGAAAGCAACGCAAGACCCGGCATGCAGCAGAACAATACTTGATTCCCTGGATGTATGAGTATTTACTTAGAGGATAACCAGGCGAACAAGGAAAGAGATGATTAAAATCCTATGGTGGCACATGGAGAAGCCCAGAGCGCCAGTGGAGGACCCCAGAACAAGAGGATCGGGGCTGATCTGTGCAATACCATTACAGTAAGAAATAAAATGTTATTTTTAAAAAAAAAACGCTTTAAAACCATCACAAATGAATTCCTGACAAGAAAAACAGTTTTACATGAGTCATTGATTTTCAGTCCAGTGACTTAGCCTGGGCTGTGATTATGTAATAAGTTTGCTGCAGGCAGGAGGACATATTTCAGCAATCTCGCTCTCCCCCTGTGATCAGACAGCACTGCAACTTTGTAGCAAGGAACAGAGTGAGATGCTACATAAGAGGTTTATCTGTTTAAAGGATAAGTTCACCTTTAAAAAATAAATCAAATATGCATTTTTTTTTTTTTTTTAGAAGCCTGTAAAAGCATTGCACCAGCAATCAACAGATTGCAGGTCCAATGCAGGGCTCCTGCAGTATAGGCTGTCTGCTTGTACATTGTATGGGCAGGCAGTTACACAATAAGAGGAAGAATCAAACTACCTACAACTGGCAGTGCTCTGGTAGTTCATTTAGAACTATAAGCGATCAGCCCCAAAGGCTGTCGGCAGATTTAGTTTCCGTTCTCAGAACTCTGTGAATGAATGATGTGATCAGATGGGTGGAGAAGATACCCAGCCACTGTCAAATCGGAGACTCTTGGGGGGGAAGCAAGGGCAGCTGCAGCAGTAACATTTAGCATGTTACACCCTAAATACAGCTGTAACAAGTATGCAGTTATAAAAGGTGATTTTATCCTTTAAGGCTAGGTTCACAGCATACAGGTGCAACAAAGAGCCTGACCCTTTTTCAAAATCACACTGCACTGAATGGCATGGTGTTACGGCACCATGCTTTTTGGCATGCACAAAAACAAGCGCATTAGCAGTTGCATGAGGGTTCTGTTAACAATTAATGGCATTGCCGCCCATCTGCTAAAGGGCAGCATATTTCTTTGTGTGTTGGGAACATGCAGAACATGCATGAAGAAAATTTTGAACAACGCTAAGAACTGCACAGACACCAGAATTAAAATATAATTTCTGAGCCAGCATCTCAGTCCAGGAAGTACATACCAACCATGGATGATGCCTTAACAAAGATGGTGCTGCCATCTTTGAAAAACACAGATTTTCATGGGGAGTACAGTGATCTCTGAGAGGGAAGTATTACACTGAAAAATTACTAAGCCACTTTAAAAAAAATAGCAAATACTGATATTTCCAGATCAATATAAGAATGATTAAAGGAAAGTCCTGCTAGGAGAAATACACAGGCGGCCACTGCCGACCTCTTCTACAAATACTACTTGCGAGACTGTGAGACTGTCATGCTGATCCACTGGATTCAATCATTTCCACAGACCTGGAAGAAGTGTGAAGCAAGTGAAGTGAAAATGCTGTCAGAACTAGATACCTTAGATTGCCAAAAGTATTGGGACGCCTGCCTGTAAACGCACATGAACTCTAATGGCATCCCAGTCTTAGCCCGTAGCGTTCAATATTGAGTTGGCCCACCCTTTGCAGCTATAACAGTTTCAACTCTTCTGGGAAGGCTGTCCACAAGGTTTAGGAGTGTATCTATGGGAATGTTTGACTATTCTTCCAGAAGCACATTTGTGAGGTCAGGCACTGATGTCGGATGAGAAGGCCTGGCTCATAGTCTTCGCTCTAATTCATCCCAAAGGTGTTCTGTCGGGTTGAGATCAGGACTCTGTGCAGACCAGTCAAGTTCCTCTATTCCAACCTCACTCATCCAAGTCTTTATGGACCTTGCTTTGTGCACTGGTGCACAGTCATGTTGGAAAAGGAAGGGGCCATCCCCAAACTGTTCCCACAATGTTGGGAGCATGAAACTGTCCAAAATGTCTTGATATGCTGACCCCTTAAGAGTTCCATTCACTGGAACTAGGGGGCCAAGCCCAAACCCTGAAAAACAAACCCACACCATAATCCCCCCCCCCCCCCCCACCAAACTTTACACTTGGCACAATGCATTCAAGCAAGTATCGGTCTCCTGGCCAACCGCCAAACCCAGACACATCTATCAGATTTCCAGACAGAGAAGCGTGATTCATTCCTCCAGAGAACATGTCTCCACTGCTCTATAGTCCAGTGGCGGCATGCTTTACACCACTGCAACCAATGCTTTGAATTACACTTGGTGATGTAAGGCTGCTCAGCCATGGAAACCAATTCCATGAAGCTCTCTACGCACTGTTGTTGTGCTAATCTGAAGGCCACAGAAGTTTGGAGGTCTTTAGCTATTGACTCTGCAGACAGTTGGCGGCTTCTTCATAATGTGCGCTTCAGCATGCGCTACATTGTTAGTCTGGCTGAAAAAAAAAAAAAGACAAAAGCTGATCCAGTTCAACCATTAAAAAAAAAAAAAAAAGTTATAATCCTACACCCAGTTGATCTAGAGGAAGGCAAAAAAAAAATACCCAGCAAAGCATGATCCAATTTGCTTCTGCAGGGGAACAAAATCCTTCCTGATCCCTCGAGAGGCAATCAGATATTCACTGGATCAACTTTACCTATAAATGTTAGTATCCAGTTATATTCTGTGTATCCAAGAAAGAATCCAGGCCTTTGTTAAAGCAATCCACTGAGCTGGTCAGAACCAACTCTTGAGGGAGTCTATTCTACATTTTTACAGCTCTTACTGTGAAGAAACCTTTCCGTGTTTGCAAATTAAATTTCTTTTCCTCCAGATGAAAGAGTGCCCCCTTGTCCTCTGTGATGACCTCAGGGTGAGTAACTCTACACCAAGTTCACTATATGAACCACTGATGTATTTAGACATGTTGATCGTATCCCCCCTTAATCTCTTCTCAAGAGAGAATAAATTCAGTTCCTCTAATCTTTCCTCATAGCTGATCTCCTCCATTACTCTTGTCAGTTTCTTTGACCTTCTCTGTACTTTCTCCAGTTCCCCAATATTCTTTTTGTAAATTGGTGCCCAAAATTGAACTGCATATACCAGATGAGGTCTTACTAATGATTTGTACAGGGGTAATATGATATCTCTCTCTCTGGAGTCTATACCTCTTTTAATACAAGAGAGGATTTTGCTCGCTTTAGAAACCGCAGCTTGGCATTGCATGCCATTATTAAGCTTGTGATCTACCAGAACTCCCAGATCCTTCTCCACCATTGATTCCCCCAGTTGTACCCCCCCCCAGTATGTATGATGCATGCATATTCTTAGCCCCCAAGTGCATAACCTTACATTTATCAACATTAAACCTCATTTGCCACATAGTTGCCCAATTAAACAGTGCATTGAGGTCGGCTTGTAATTTGGAGACTCCCTGTAAGGACATTATTCCACTGCACAGCTTGGTGTCATCTGCAAAGACTGAAATGGGATTTTTAATCACAGACCCTATATCGTTTATAAATATATTAAAAAATAAGGATCACAACACTGAACCTTGGGGTACACCACTAACAACACTAGACCATTCAGAATATGAATCATGCGCTGACCCTGTTCTGTCATTTTACGTGGTCTACCAATTGGTGGCTGAGTTGCTGTACTATCAAGTACTATAGTACCACACTTGAATTCACTGGACTCTTTCACAAATGTTTGTAGAAGCAGTCTGCATGCCTAGGTGCTTGATTTTATACACCTGTGGCCATGGAGGTGATTAGAACACCTGAATCCAACAATACTTTTGGCAATATAGTATATGTGTGTTTGTTTTAGGTCAGTGACTCAGAATGCAATGAAGTCAGACAATTAGCATGACAGGCAGGGATTTTTTTTTCCTGACAAGAGCACTGGTGTTTTTTTAAGCCAGTGTGCATGGCCCCATATGGTTAGGCTTGAAATTTGGTTACCAATTGCAGAAGTGTTGAAAAATAAGCCAGTGGTGCCACAGAGCTTGCAATTAAACAGCATTTGTCTGAGACATATTATGTACACAGGGCAAGATTGATTTGTAAAGCAAATATTTTACTAAGAGAATGAGCTAATGTCTGTGAACATGGGAGTGGGTCAGAAGGACAGTGTTCCCAAGTCCCTAAAGAACAACTCAACAGATAATCCAACACTCACAGGGTTCCTCTGAACTAAAGAGTTGCTGAGAGGAGGAGTTTCAGGAGGCAGAGTCAGTACAAGAATCAGGCAGCAATGTACCATGGGATATGTAGTCCTTAGAAATTGAACAGCAGAGAAGAAGCTGCAAATCATGCAGGGAATCCAGGAAGTTGTGGAAAGAGATGGCCCACAAGCAGGCAGAACTCAAAACATGACAGGAAATGTTTCAAGTAGGCATAAATTGTCAAATATAATATTGTTTATATTGTCATTACAATGCTGATGTTATAAAATAAAAGTATATGCTGTGACTACAGATCTTTTTTAAGCTGACCATATCCTATACCATCTGATTGTACAATCTCTTTTAAATAAACCATCAATTATGTAGTGCAAGGGCCTGTCTGATTTGATATAAATTGAATGGATTGTCTAGGTTTGTCCTTATTATACATAGTTTTCATAAATCTAAGGAACATTGTACAGAAATTGTACAATTAGGCCTAGTGGTGCACCATAATTCTGGTGCCGATACCGAAACCGAAAATTTAGGATGTACTTGGCTGAAATCCAAAACCAAAATGTCTGCGTATGTGGGGGTGAGGAGGCTCAATTTTTATTTATTTATTTTTAATGTGTGATATTTACTTTTTTGATTTATGATTTTCTTGCTATATGTGACAGCATATAAGTGACAGGTCCTCTTTGTAGGGGGAGGGAGGCAGAGTGTGCAAGGAGGGGGCAGGAGTGGAGCAGTGTATACAGTGATGGAGCAGTGTATACAGACAGGCTTCCTCACATGCAGCCGCTAAATGTCATTGCCAGTTTTTAAATGCAAGTATTGGCTTTTTTTTTCTTCACTATAACTCGGAGAAGGAGCTGTCATTTGCCCAGCAGCTAAAGTAATCAAAGTGGCAGGATCACTGGGTAAAGAAAAAAAAAAAGCCAGCAATTGCATTTAAAAAACCGGCAATGACATTTAGCGGCTGCAATTAAGGGAACCTATCTGTATACACTGCCTACCTCCTCTCCTGCCTTTCCCTGCCAATGCCACCCCCCCCCCCCCACTCCAAAATCTGCAGTAAACACAGCCCCCCACAAATCCCCAGCCAAATAGTCAAATGCCGATTGGGCTATTTTTGGCCAATATGTTTCGGCCACCAAAATTTCGGTGCCTTCCTAATTATGGCCCCATTCACAAGAGTGGTCCAATCTAGTCAGTCTGTCTGTCTGTCCGTTTTTTAGGCCAGATCAGACCCTCCATTCTTCTTTATGGAGTGACAGATGTAAATGGACTTGTGTCCATTTACACCCATCTACCTCCAATCTGGTAGACAAAGACCTGTCATCTGCCCGCTCCGCTGAGACCTGTCCGCTGATCCCCTGCTGAGAAAAAACGGACTGGCCCGTGTGAAAGGGGCCTTACATTGTATAGTGTATGGCCAGCATTAGCTGGGCTAACAGATTTTAATGGATTAATGGATTAAATTAAAAAAAGAACTTAAGTCACCCTTTTAAAAACTGCAAGCAGGCAGGCTTTTCTTCTATTCAAGGGTGCATTACCAACAATTGTGTTAGTGGTGGTAGTGTTTCTTAAAGAGACTTTCTCATTGGCCAAACCCGGTCAGGCAAGGCCAGATCCACAGTTTATCATACATCAACATAGTCACCTCCAAGACGAAATGCTCTGTGTTCAACTATCCACTCGGTTGAGATATACAGGTGAAACTCGAAAAATTAGAATATCGTACAAAAGTTCATTTATTTCAGTAATGCAACTTAAAAGGTGAAACTAATATATGAGATAGACTCATTACATGCAAAGCAAGATAGTTCAAGCCGTGATTTGTCATAATTGTGATGAATATGGCTTACAGCTCATGAAAACCCCAAATCCACAATCTCAGAAAATTAGAATATTGTGAAAAGGTGCAATATTCTAGGCTCAAAGTGTCCCACTCTAATCAGCTAATTAAGCCATAACACCTGCAAAGGGTTCTTGAGCCTTTAAATGGTCTCTCAGTCTGGTTCAATAAGAATCACAATCATGGGAAAGACTGCTGACCTGACAGTTGTGCAGAAAACCATCATTGACACCCTCCATAAGGAGGGAAAGCCTCAAAAGGTAATTGCAAAAGAAGTTCCCAAAAGTGCTGTATCAAAGCACATTAATAGAATGTTATGTGGAAGGGAAAAGTGTAGAAGAAAAAGGTGCACAAGCAGCAGGGAAGACAGCAGCCTGGAGAGGATTGTCAGGAAAAGGCCATTCAAAAGTGTTGGGGACTTTCACAATAAGTGGACTGAGACTGGAGTCAGTGCATCAAGAGCCACCACACACAGACGGATCCTGGACATTGGCTTCAAATGTCGTATTCCTCTTGTCAAGTCGCTCCTGAACAACAAACAACGTCAGTAGCGTCTTACCTGGGCTAAAGAAAAACAGACCTGGTCTGTTGCTCAGTGGTCCAACGTCCTCTTTTCTGATGAGAGCAACTATTGCATCTCATTTGGAAACCAAGGACCCAGGAGTATGGAGGAAGAATGGAGAGACACACACTGCAAGATGCTTGTAGTCCAGTGTGAAGTTTCCACAGTCTGTGTTGATTTGGGGAGCCATGTCATCTGCTGGTGTTGGTCCACTGTGCTTCATTAAGTCCAGGGTCAACGCAGCCGTCTACCAGGAGATTCTGGAGCACTTCATGCTTCCTTCCGCAGACTAGCTTTATGGGGATGCTGACTTCATTTTCCAGCAGGACTTGGCACCTGCCCACACTGCCAAAAGCACCAAAACCTGGTTCAATGACTGTGGGATTACGGTGCTTGATTGGCCAGCAAACTCGCCTGACCTGAACACCATAGAGAATCTATGGGGCATTGCCAAGAGAAAGATGAGAGACATGAGACCGAACAATGTAGAAGGGCTGAAGGCCGCTATTGAAGCATCCTGGTCTTCCATAACACCTCAGCAGTGCCACAGGCTGATAGCTTCCATGCCACGCCGCATTGAGGCAGTAATTGCTGCAAAAGGGGCCCAAACCAAGTACTGAGTACATATGCATGCTTATACTTTTCAGAGGTCCGATATTGTTCTATGTACAATCCTTGTTTTATTGATTGCATGTAATATTCTAATTTTCTGAGATTGTGGATTTGGGGTTTTCATGAGCTGTAAGCCATAATCATCACAATTATGACAAATCACGGCTTGAACTATCTTGCTTTGCATGTAATGAGTCTATCTCATATATTAGTTTCACCTTTTAAGTTGCATTACTGAAATAAATGAACTTTTCCACGATATTCTAATTTTTCAAGTTTCACCTGTATATAACAGCATGAGCCATCCATTGTGAGTGGTACAAGATGACACATAAGGGTTGATTTACTAAACGCAAATAGACTGTGTACTTTGCAAGTGCAGTGGCTCCAGAGCTTAGTAAATGAGGTAAAGCTGCACAAAGAATACCCAATCATGTGCAAGGAAAATAATAAGGGGTGCCTTCAGATTTCTTCAGGGATGCCTTGGCAAAATGCCTAAAAATTGTATAAAAGTCAGCTGGTGGTCAAGCCTGCTTTTTAGCAACAGGTTTTCATTGTGTACCATTAGAACCTTCCAGCTGCCAAGGTCCTAACAACCAATGACAATCTCCCCAGCCCCTCTCCATCAGCACTGAGGTGATATTAGCAGAATGAAGGAGAGTAACATTGAAATACTAGTCAGTACCAGTGTGCAATGATGTATTTGCTTTGGAAGAATAAATCATGTTGGTCCTACATGTGTGGAGGATGCTGCCTTATGTAAAACTATTAATTTAGTTTAACATTTTAGAATGGGGTGCTTTGAGTTTGTGCAGAATTTTAAAGGGTGCCTTGACTGAAAAAAGGTTGAGAAACACTGCCCTGGAGCAACTGCACTTGCAGAATGTACAGTCTGTTTGTCTTTAGTAAATCAACCCCATATTGCCTCAGTCCATAATGCCTATCTCAAGTAAGGTTATTAGTGTCTGACCTTATAGTGATTCTCTTTAACAATAAAAGAAACCAACCTGCCTGTTCGTAGTCTCTTTTGGAATGTACAGCAAGTTACACAAGTGATGTGCCAGGATGACTGCAATCCAGCGAATGCACAGGACTGATGTCATCCTACGTTGGCCAATGAAGATGGCCACAGAAGTTCGACACATCCCCTGCTGAGTCAGAGCTAGAACTCTCCAATCGAGAGGGAGTGTGAGATTGACTGATTACAGAGCTATAGGTCTGACTTAGAAGGTAGTGTGCTGGACCTCTGCAGAAAGACCTCTGCTTCCAGAAAAAGGGCAAGCGTCCTACTCTGTGGCTGCTTTCTAAAGAAAACAAACTGTAACCATTTGCACACCACAGCACATTTTAACCCTTTGGCACCGAGCATACACATACACTATATTGTCAAAAGTATTGGGACACCCCCTCCAAATCACTGGATTCAGGTGTTCCAATTACCTCCATGGCCACAGGTTTATGAAATGATGCACCTAGGCATGCAGACTGCGTTTACAAACATTTGTGAAAGAATGAGTTGCTCTAAGGAGCTCACTAAATCAAAGCATGATACCGTGATAGGAGTCAGCGCATGCTGAAGCGCACAGGG